CATTAAAGCTTTAAATTACCATTTTACATAAAAGTTATTTTGTCTAAGAAATATAAGTTAAGAAGGTATAAGTACATTTTATATGTAATAAGTTCAAACAATTGGAATTAGAGATCTTTTCATTGAATTAATTTCTTAATGAACATAAACACTAAGAACCATTACATACTTCCAAGGAATAAGGAGTCAACAGGAAGATTAAACTGAAAAACTTCAATTCCCTCTTCCCCAAACTAAGGTTCACATAAAAGCTTCCATTGTTTCCAACTTTAAACAAAAACTGCTTCTCACAGTGATGACCAACATTTATTGGCTTTATCATCTTACCTGAAAGACAGCATGGGACCGGGAAGAGGAAGCATTCACATCTGTGGGATGCTGAGTTCTATTTTTATTTCCATAGTCCAACATCTGAAGGATTTCCTCAGCTGATTTAGGCTTTAAGAGTAGAGCACAAGACAAATACAGGTTTCTTTTCTTTTCCATCAACTATAGGAATACACTGATTCTAAAATACATTTACATTAACATTAACCCTCAAAAATAACCTTAAAATTTTAGCTACCTAGAAGTAAGAGAAATTTCTTGTTTGAAACTGAGGCACTTCAAACAAATATTCTCAGTTAAAAAGCAATAAGGTATGAAAAATAAGCACTTAAGTGCAGCAACCTAAATCAGAAAATATTTTTAGTAAAGAATTTAAACAAATCTGAAAGATTCTCCATAGTTAGAATCAGCCTCTTTTAAGAATGTCTGGACTTAAATTAGTATATCACTATTTAATGCATTAGTACAAGAAAATTTTTTTCTCACAAGAGTCAAGGTTTGGGAACAAGGATGTTCAGAGAGCTAGCCAAACTTAGAATATTGTTTCCTGTCACAGCATGCAACGTACAAAAGAAAACTGTAAGAAAATAGGTCCACAGGAATGGATTTTGAGATTGGAAAACTAAGTTTCATCACTGACTTACCAAAGAATTGCTGTGCTAGTCCAGAAAAGTAATTAAATATGAAACTTTTCAAATATGGTTATTTACAAACAAAAACAACCTTGAGACTTCACAGCAGTGTGGAACACTCCAAGATGGTAACGAAGGCAATGCCAAGATATTTTAGCCAAAAAAGAAAGCTTCCAAAATCTACTGGATGAGCATCAAGCCAAGAGTACCCTTTTGATAACAAGGACTGAATGCTTCTAGATTTGCTTTCAATAAGACGAGCAGGTTTCTTCCACAATATACTTTTAATAAATTAATTAGATTTGCAAGTTAGTGGTGTTTATGGCCAGAAAATTACCAAATTACATACAATCCTGAGAACAACGGGGATATTTCTCAAATATCTCAGGCACATTGTAAGTTTCTATAGATATTTACATACCTGATGCAATGTCAGACCTTGGACTACCACCCCTTGCTGGCCATCTTCACGAACAGCCAGAGGTCCAGATTTGACCAGCAGATCACGTATCTGTTCATTGTAAACCTTTGAAAGGGAATTTAAAAGATTTTGTTAAAATATCCTCCTATAGTTGACAGAATTCAATAAACAGAAATCACCAGTCCTTTTTAATACTCCTTTAAGACAAAGTAGTGAATTCATGCTCTAATTTTTTTAGATTTTTCTTATACTGAGCTTAAAACATTCAATTTACATGATTTCCATTTAGATTTTAGAAGTGAATAATTCTTTCTAGTAAATAATATTCATTCTTTATTGAACAAAAATTGGCTTTTTTTACAAAAAACAGTTCTGCAGCAAGCATGAATCTGAAGCATTTCTTTTCCTCCATTGTACATCACAATCCACACCTCAGTGATATTTCTTAGTTCAAACCTATTTCTGTTAAAACTATTTGAATGTCTTCTTTCTTGGTGTGTGAAAGCTTATGGCAATGCAAGCTTTCCCCATCTCCTTCTACCTCTCCCAAATACCAACCAGAGCCCATTAAGACTTAGAGAGAGCTAAAAAGATAACCATTTTACCAGCACTGCCCAGCAGCAGTGCCAAAACATTTATCTGGAAAAAGAGAGCATTTTGTTGTGTTTTTTCACAGTATTTATAGATGCTGCTGAGAAGTTCTAAAATATGACTCTGAAATTATATTTTCTTGTACACATCAACAGATGTTCAGAGGCATGTAATTCATCAGCAAAACACAATCATGAATGTTCAGTTCATATTATAGATATGATAGAGATAATATAAACATATTAGAAGGGCTGGTTGTTCTTGGGCAGCCTTCTGTAAAATAGTAACAGGTGCCTAGGAACACCAAGTTTGCAGAGCACAATATAGTTCTGCTCCTATAAGGACACTTTCTGTCAAGCCCCAGAAAGGACCAGAGGAAAGCAAAACCAGCTTGTCTTTATTTATAAAATATGACTTATTTAAAGCAACATACCAAATACAGGAACTCACCTCTAAATAAGAGACAGCAACATCACATGTTTTATCTTCTTTTATTTGATCCATGCGTTTATAAAGTGTCATCATAGTTAAATACATGACTCCAGGATCTTCAGGAGAACCCAACATTGTATGAGTCTTTCCAGCTCCTGTTGCACCATATGCAAGCACTGAATTTTCCCCCAAAAAACCAAAGAAACAAACAAAACAAAACAAAACAAACAAACAAACAACAAAACAAAAAAAACCAACAAAATGAAAATATGTAATTTATTTTTAAGCTAATCAGGAACACAACTCAAACATTCATAGACCTTTGTTATTCTGCACAACTGTTTCATAAATGGTTCAAGTTCCTTACTTCGGCTTTACTTTTCACATCTATAATTAGAGAGAGATGTTTCAAAACAACACTTTTGAATTTTCCGTTCAAAATTCATTCACCGATCTGTTGCATGAAAATGTTATTTACTTACTTTCATAACCCTAAGCCATCAATTTGTTGCTGATAGGCATTTCATCTCCTCACCACATTGCAGCAGCCAATTAAAAAACCCCCAAGATCTTGGAGAGTTGATAAAGCAGGTTACTACGCTTAGTGACACAACTGCTTCTGCTTGGATAACTCTAGAGGACTCCCATTAGCACATATATATTTCAGATAAAATTCCCAAGTCTAGTATAACCTTAACACAAACTTATTTTTAAAATAGAGTGGAGCTAGCCTAACCTCCATATGCTAAAAACTCAGCCTTTTATATCTATGAATTAAACCACAATGTTTTATTTCTATCACGGGCTTTTTTAATACCTCTGCAGCCATTGGACAGAACGGTAGAAACTCTGAGAAAATCATTGTTTTTTTAATTAAAGAAGATAAAAAGCTAAGTTACCTGTGCAGTTATATCCATTTAGGAAGCCATCAATTAGATTTTTGGTAGTATGCTCAAAAACTTCCAACTGGGATGAACTGTCATCAAAAATGGCATCAAACATAAATTTAAGATCTTTCCTTTGTCTTTTGTTAATATCCCTATGGGTCACTCTCTTCCTGTTAAAGAAGATAACTTCTTCCTCCTTTGGATCAAAGACCAATACGTGCCGGTCAATAACACGGACAACCCTGCTAAAGCCGCCGTCTTTTTCCTTCTGGGTCTCCGGACGGACTCGGACTACCACTTTCACATGGCTACAGACATCTTCTTCCTTAGCAGGAGTCATCTCTTCTGCTCCCCAGCTCCACATCCAACGCTTTCAGAGCGAACAGCTGAATCTTTTCTGCAATTGACAAGATAGGTTTTATTTGCAATATAATGCCTTTCATTCTTTCAAACAGCTCACCCATTTGAACAGGCAGCTATGCTGGATCCAGCCATCACTTGTCAATGTACTGCCCCAATGGCACGGAGACTTTGGCAAACACTACAACTGGCCTCAAAAGATGACTTAATTCAGCACAGCTGTCAGAAAAACAACTAGCACTTCCCCAGTAAATGCTCAAGCTTATTTCAGAATTTAAACTACTAAATGACCTACAGGCTTTCCTTTATAAAGGACCAAGCCTTCAGATGGCATACCACATTTCTGTAGACTAAAGCGAGTAGTTTTTTTGTTATTCAGCAGAAAGAGGAGCTGCCTATGTTGTTCTCCCTGGATTATTGATATAGTCACCTTGCACATGGATTTAAAGAGTTAAAGCAGGATTCACGTTAACGTGCCTTGCATGGGACGCAGTAACCGATACCAAAACGGAACTTCCTTGAACTAGCCCATTTTTGTTATTAACAGCGGGCTGTTCACCCACCCTTAAAAGCGGACAGTAATCTACACAGCAAAAGCTCTCAGTGGCGCTTTTGCCGCTCCAGGCCCAGCTCGCCCTCTCTCAGCGGAGCCGCCTCCCAGACCCGCACTGTTCTCTTCCCCCACGGCACAGCTCTTCCCCGGGGCCCGGCCCCAGGCTCGGCCCTACGGCCAGAGAATTCTACCCCCATTCCGGCCAGAGAATTCTACCCCCATTCCGGCCAGAGAGAGGCTGCCCCGGCCCCACTCACCCCCGGGCCGCGGCCGTGCCCAGTCTCACCGCCGGGCCGTGGCCTCAGCCGTCCCCGGGCTCGCCCCCCGGACTCGCGCCCCAGCCACGGCCGCACCAACCGCCACCCGACGAATTCAAACACGCGCAGGCAGCGCTCCTCGCCTCCTCATTGGCTGTCCCCCTTGACGTCAGCAGAGCGCCGCGGTAAGTGCGTGGGGCCGAGCGCGGGGCGTTGTGCGCGGGGCCCACACGGCGTGTGCGGTGGCGGAGCCTGCGGGGAGGCTGGAAGGGAGGAAGGAAGAAAGGAAGGGGCACGGGGGCACGCGGGCACGCCGGCACGCCTGGGACTGGTGGGCGGGCGGCCTCTGGCTCCGCGTATCCCACCAGCCCGGCTCGGGCGGGCACAGCCTCTTTCCCCCGGACGTAGCGGGGCCTGTGCGCACCGCGGTGCGATCGGCTGGTACTTCTCCAGTCGCCTCTAGTAAAAAGTATTGAGCGGTAGGATTTTGTCCCTGCTGTATTTACCTTCTGCTTTAGTAGAAGTCGTGATCTTGAGTGCCACTCTATTTTGAGGCGGCAGTCTTCAGCCTGCAGTCGTGCCCGAGTGCCCCTTTAGCCTTGCGCTGTTTATAAAAGACACTTTCTGCTCACTTCGAAGGAAAAGATCTCCAGTTGTGTAGAGCAGGGGTGGTTGTGAGCACGGCGTGTCCCTCGTTTTAACCGCGCGTCTCGGGCTCATAGCAGTGCAGGTGAGCGTGAGTACGATGATGGCCCACATTTAATGGTTTAACCCCGGACAGCCGCTCCTCACTCGCTCACCAGTGGTACTGGGGAGAGAAGGGGAAGGGTAAAATGGTAGAAATCTCGGGGACTGAGATACGGAGAATTTCTTAGGTAAATTAAAAGCTGTGTAGACAAGCAAAACGAAACAAGGAATTGGTGCGCTACTTCCCGTGGGCAGGCAGGAGTTCAGCCATCTCCAAGGAGAGCAGGGCCCCATCACAGGTAGTGGTTACTGGGGACCACAAATGCCATCGCTCCAAACATTGTCTTCCTCCCACTTTGTGTATGGAGCATGATGACATTTGGGCTGCAATATCCATCCCTTCAGTGCATTTGGGTCACCTGCCCTAGCTGAGTCTCCTCCCTGCTGAGTCCAGCAAAAATCCAAGACACAGCCCCATATTCGCCACTGTGAAGAAAAACAACCACCCCAGACAAAACCAGCACAGCATACCATGGTAATACAGATGTTTTCTTGAGACACACTATGGTTTGTTGCAAAACCTCACATCTGTGTGTATATTCAAAGTTAGAGTGATGCACACTTTTGAACTTAAGGTAGGGGAATTACTTCCCAGCTGGAGCTTCAATTATCAGGGGTGTAACTTTCTCAGCATATTCTTATGCAGGAAAAATATTGGTAGCTTCTGGCAAGGTAAATTCAAGAAAAGCACACATTAAAATATGATAGTGAAAAGAATCTGCTTATTGCTTGAACGTGATGGATTTGTAGATAATCTTGAAAGTTCTGAGAACATTTTGCTGATCAAACATATCTATAAAGCTGCCCAACTTGGAATGCATATAGCTTTGCCTATAGCATTTCTGCTTTGTTACTTAAACAAATACATTATTTCAGATATTTGTTTGAAAGTAATTCCCAACATCTACTGCTCTTCTAGGCTGATCAACTCCAAAATGTTACCTCAAAATCTGTGCCAAGTTTGCAAATATTTGTTTCTGTGTAACTTGAAACTGAATTCAGTAAATGTGGCTGGTTTGGCCAGAAGGATCCATTCTTCATCAAAAAAGCTTTCTGACTCTGAGTCAAAGGAACAAACTGTCCAGAAAGGTGAAACTGAAGAGTTGCCTCAAAGTACAGAAAACAACAATTATGGAAGATTGCACATGCCAGTGATGCTGGAGGAGGTTCTTAATTGTTTATCCCCTCAGCCAGGTCAGGTAAGTTAAATGATTAATAAATATTTGTAATCCATTAACAGTCCAGCAGAAAAATGTGTGGAGTGTAGGAATAACTTTTGTTTAGAGGAATAAAGGGATGCTCTTAAACAATCAGTTGTACCTTTAAATTGTTTTAACGTTCAAGTTAAAACTCCGTATTCAAACTAATAAACTTCTGGTGTCTTTGTGCCTGAATCCTCAAGTAGGTGGTATTTATTAAAACTGTCATATTTGACTGTTCTGTTGCTTTTGTGCTTGTCTTTCTGAATTGCGCTTGTGTATTCTTAAGATTATGTTAATTACTCATAGTACTGGCGAGTTCTCATGTATGGTTATCTCATCAGTTTTTGAAGAGCCCTCTTCCTTTTGTATAAGAGGTAGTAACTTTGTAGGTTTTAAAAATTGTTCAGCCTCATTAGCATGGAACTAGCTCAAGCCTTCTTATTAGGGTATGCTACTGTAAGTAGTTTGCTTTTGGTATCTGGGATAGTTCAGGTCTCTCTATTGATATATCTACACTGCAGCTATAGTCCAAGTATATGGTTACATACGTCCTTGAAAATTATACACAGTGAAATGTTTTTTGTCTGGGTGGTCGTAGTATTAATTTGAAAGGATTTTTAAAATAATATGAATTCTTAAATAACGTTCACATTTCAGATATTTTCATCTGTGATTTTAGTGCTTCTTTTAGCTTCATACAATCTTACTAATTTAGGCTTATCAATGTATAGTTTTACTACAAAGACTGAAAAAACAGAAGTAGAAGTATAAAGGTGAAAGTGTGTATGTTTTTATTTTTATTTGAAAACAGCATGATCCAACAGTGGCAAGGTTATATAGCAAGTTTGAGGTGGATTCAGTGATCAAAAATTTGCAGTCAAATCTTGTTGTGTTGCACTGTTTATCACTTTAAGTCTTTGAAGGAGCAGTGAAAATGCAAACAGTATTGATACACATTGCTCTTCTGTGTGGTCTGCTGTTCAAGATACCCAAATTAGAGAAATACATAAGGAACTTTGAGTTCAGATTTTATTTTGATGTCAAAACTATGATGACATTTTCACACATTAAATGAACATATTAACTGTGATACACTATGTGAAATATTTTTCCAGTTGTGTAAATTTTTACTTAGATAAGAAGAGCCTGATGAAGTCAGTGTTCATTAAACTTTCTTTATTGATGTAGAAAACCTTACTTGGCAACAGAACTTGTTGTAAAACAAAGTATTTAAGGTTACTGCCTCTGAAGACTTTTTCTAATTTAAATATTTATGAATGTAAATAGCTTATTGTTGGGGTGGGATTTTTTCAGGTCTGTGGTATAAATGTGTTTTCAGATTCCTAGGCTAGTAGTGACCCACTAATGACTGCTATAAGAGAACCCAGGTGTGTTTACCTCAAAGAGAAGCATTTATAATACTGCTGACCCGTTCAGCATGGCTGAAACTGGAAACTGTTCGGCAATTGCATTTTTCTTTTTCTGTATGTATTCAAAGCACTTTCTGAAGCCTTGAAAAGTAAGTAGTGTGCAAAAGGATGCAATGTGTCAACTGAGTTTTGCTGTTAGTGGAAATTTGAACACAGATTGAGACAGTTTGTCACTAACCTGAGTGGTGGTAATTAGTTTGTATTAACATGGATGTCAACTGAGAGTGTCATATAAATTTACATTTTTAAGATTATAGTCATGACAGGAAGTCTATAAACACTTTATTTTCTGGGCAGGAAAGGTAGTGCTGTGATCTTGAATTTAGTTTTTCTGCTTTATTCTCCCCTACACACATAAACATTTCCTTTACTTGGCTTTAATAGAGTTATATTATTTGTTATAAAAAAGCTGATTTGAGCCTCTATTTCTTCTTGTGTCCTAAGACAGAAGTTACCAGTATAAAAAAAAAATCTAATTAGAAAAATGATGTTCTCTCTATAGTTATGGTCACTGAATGGGATTTTCATTTTACTTATAGAGGTTCTTACGAAAATAAATGTTACTTAGGAGTGAGTCAGCGCTGAGATAAAGATGTTAGTGCCCTCCCACTGAATATTCTTGTTGACTGTCTCCTTTGGGGAATCTGTTTGTCAGGAGTTTGAGCAATAATACTTCCATTTATCTTTGAATCTTCTTTTATTGCCTTGTTTCACAAAGTCCCTGTAGTAGTCCTGTCTTTGAAACAAAGCCTACAAATTAGTTTTTACTAATCTACCTCGCTTCTCAATGAAAAGTCTGTTGCAGTAAGTCCACACATAAGTAATTTCCTTTAAGTTTACTGTATTGATTACACTGCATTTTAATCTTCTCAGTCCATGAGTGTTGTTGCAAATACCTGACCAATATTTTTGCAGTTGTCTGGACAATTCTCTGTTCTCTTAAAGAACTGAACTTATTTTGAATCAATGTTTGAACATCCAGAACCATGTTCCTTCAGTTTTCAGCCTACTTTTTCTTATTTTTTCCTTTGCAATGGCCATTTATCTTTTAACTAGAGGTGTGGATCTTTTCTGCATACTGTGGCTATAACGTTAAGTAAAAGAATTTCAAGAGCAATGAGTTCTTTTATGAATGGAAGAGGATGAAACTCCGACATTTTAACTGTTCTTATGAGAATCTTAAAGACTTTTGAGTTGCAAAGCTCTAGGAAATGGCAGTGCTCCAGCACCAGCAAATACTTCTATATATAATATTTAAACTCCAACTAGAAGAAAAGAAATATTATGCCCTACTCAGATTTTATGGGGAAGCCTGTAGTCTGATGGCATCTATGGTTTTGTATGATCGATTTTATCTATGGTTGAGTATGATCTAGAAGAGACTATAATGGAGATACCATAAGCTCTGCTAGTATTATTTGGTTTATGATAGATTTAGAACCTTTTTTTTTAGTATCCGTAAATTAAATGGTAGGTGGTCAAAATTGAGGTGAGAAATAATGAATGAGACCTTTCAATTTTCTCCAGTGTTTGAGTGGTCCATGAGAAGCAGTTAATAGGAAGGAGGTGATGTTTATTACCTCATTATGTTAATTTGTGTGAAAAAAAGGAAGGCAGTTAATTTTCTCCAAAGAGATCTTGTCTGACTTCATCTTGAGTTAGCCAGGACTTATTGTGGATGTTTCCCTTTTGATTCTTCATAATGTTATTCAGATTATTTTTGCTATTGGCATTCCTTGAAGGAGGTATCCTCTTTGTCTTGGAAATCATGTGTTATACTTAGTTGCTAGAAAGAGACAAATATTTCCTGAAAACATGCAGCTTTGCCATGAGCTTTCCTTTCACTCTTTCAGGTACATGCTGCGTTGTTTTCAGGATACTTACTGTTTTCATGTATCCAAACATCAAATAATCCTTTTTCAGAAGGAGTGTGAGCATGGACTTCTAAAATAACAGGAAGGAAGTATAAGACATTGTTTTGTTGTGAGTGAAGTGCTGCTTGAGCTCTGGGGTTCAAGTTTGAAGACAGTAGCTTCTCACCTCCTGGAGGTTCTGTTGCTCCTGTTGGATGTTGATCTGGAGCATGGTTGTTTCCTTCCTTTTCTGCACTTAGTCAAGTAAAGATGACACTTGAAGGAAGCTGAGCTAGGCTGCTGGAGTGAGAAAGCAGAGTCAGTTCTGAAATTGTTGTCTTAGTTTCTGTGTATTCTTGTCCATACATCAGTATTCTCATTCTGCCTTGTACTGAATATAAATGCTTTAAGGCAAAAATAACCTTTCTCTGTCCAGCACCCTGCAGAGGGGACTTCTGTTTTGTGACAAAGGTTTCCAAGTATTGTGGTATATAAATAGTTACATATCTGTGCTGGTGACCATGATTCTTATCACAGCACCTCCAAAGCCACATGCAAATAATTTATAATTGGAATGACCCGTTTATACTAGAGGTTCTCAAAACTGAAGTTTTCTGCAGGATGTCCAAAATAAAGGGGAATTGAAAAGGGTCTGGAAAAATTAATTCTTGAGTTCTCAAGTTGTATGAGTTTTTTTGTAGAATGCAGCCAAAATACCAAGTTTGGAAGGGAGTATTAGTTGCATCATGAGATAAATGATGAAATACTTGTTTTGGAAAAGCACTACACACACACACATGGACATAGTAAAAGCTTGTATTGTTTTTGTCTGTTTTTCACTGGACTTGTAAAATGAGTAAGGTGACATAAAGCTATTGATTTGCATAATGTTCTTTATTGTAGAAACAACTATTTTTTTTGTGGGAAACATGCTGAAAATATCTTTCCATGTGCAAATTTTATGGCTAATTTTTCTCTGTCAGCAGCACAGTGAGCTTTGTAGTGATAGTTGTAAAAAAGAAAGGAAGATACAGAAACTTGTGAGAGTCAATAAATTAATACAGAATAATTCTGAAAATGTTCTGGGAATTACAGAACACACTTTTTTCCTCATGGTACTTAAGTGTTACTGGGGCATATTGAGAGTTGTTTCAGTTGATCATGTAGTTCCTGTGTATTTTTTCTGTCACTCTTATCTAGCCTGATGTCCTGGCTGCACTTATTGTAGATTTACAGAAGAGGCCAGCCAGGCTTCAGCTCTGTGTGGAAGTGTGTAATAAAATGTGCATCGAATGTGTATCGATGCAAAGTATATTTATTTTTGGATGTATCTACTAGGAAACTAGTTAAATGGATTCTCATCAGATAGCACTGTTTAAAATACTTGGCTAAAATCATACTTTAAGAGGGATGTTTTTAGTGAAGTTAGCATTTGAAGTTAGTGCATGAAAATGGAAAACATTTTCAAAACGGTTTTGACTAAGATATGTGAAAGATAGTACTTCAAGTATTTATTATTACTTTAAATAGTAATATTGTCTGGTTTTACAGTAGTAGTGTTTACATGCAGATTTGGAAAAGCAGACCCCATTTGCTTATGGTCCTTGACTTACAACCCATTGCTCTCTGCTGTGACATACAGTCGAAATAAAAAATAAAAGGTAAAGGAGCATTTAACAGTGTAATGCCAACAAAATGTCATACATCTTCTACA